ATATATATGTATATATATATATATAAATTTAAATATATGTATATGTAATTCGCGTTATGTGTCGACAGTGTGTGTTTGTTCTTAAGGATCCTAGATGACTGTGAGAACAGTGAGTGACGTACGCGAAACTAAGAAATGGATAAGATAGAGGTGAGTGAAAAAGATAGTCTTCTTCACTGAGAGAAATACTGTGTAAATTGTAAACGCGTGCGCGCGATCTCTATATATCTATCTTTCGCGCGCTCTCTCTGTCTCTGTCTCTGTCTCTCTTTCTTTCTACCTCCCTCTCTCTCTCTCTCTCTTTATCTTTATCTCTCTCCCTGTGTATATATACTATGTGTACTTTTCTGTATACTATTCTGTATATAATATATATACATATAAGCGTTATGTACATTTATTTTATTATATTTCTCACGTTCCTATAGAAGGGGGGGGGGAGGGGGAGGAAATTATTTTTTATCAATTTAAATTTTGTTTATTTTTTTTTTAATTTTATTATTTTTTTTTTTTTGTTTTAATTATTTTCTCTTCATCTTTTATTTTTTCCCGCTCTCTCTCTTTCTTTCTCTCTCTCTCTCCGTCTGTCCCTCTATTTCTCGTTAAAGCAATCCTCTCATATTTCTTTCATTTTGTATTTTTCTTTTCTAATTCTCTCTCTCTCTCTCTCTCTTTTTTTTTTCTTTTCTACTCGGTTCGTATTCGCTTATTTTAATCCATCCAACGCGAGACGCGAGATATACTCGCCTCGTCGTACTACTCTTTCGACCGTAATGCAGAAGTGACAGCGTTGCGATGTGTGTTCATGGAAGGGGTAAAGGAAAGAGTGGAAGGGAGACGATATGTAGTTAGACATCTGGCAACGAATGCCATTGTGTGTATCTTCAATGTGCGATACTATTAGACGGACTGGTTACTTTTCTCTCTCTCTCTCTCTCTCTCTCTCTCTCTTTCTATCTTACTCTCTCTCTCTACCACGTTCTTTTCACATCGTTTCATCCTTCTCACTTTCGTATTTATCCCCATCGTTCTCCTCGTGTTCTCCCTTTCGTTCTTTTTCTCTCTCTCTCTCTCTCTCTTTCTTTTGGCTTCGCGAATTCATCCTTATCTCTGTCACTCTCTCTTTCTATCTTTTTCCATATTTATATATCTCTCTCTCTCTCTTTCTTTTTCTCTTACTCTTTTCATCTTTCTTCATGTCTCTACTATCGTTTCTCTCGCACTCACTTATTCGTGCTTCATACTTATTCACTTTCTCTCTCTCTCTCTCTCTCTCTATTTCTTTCTTTTTCTTTTTATTTTTCTTTCTCTTTACCACTCGTTTCATCTCGCTTGTTTCTATCTCACTCGCTCTATAGTCACAGAGGATATTTATAGATGTGCCTTAACCCGATTTAAAACAGCCACCTCTACGCGTATTGTCTTAACGACGATTTAACGAGAAACTGTTCTATTTTTTTGTCTATCTCTCTCTCTCTCTCTCTTTTAATTAATATTATTTTATTTTAATTTTTATTTTTAATTTTTAATTTTATTTTATTTTTGTACACACATATTTTTCTATCACTTCGTTAAATATTCGTATCAGTCCAATAGATTACATATATACACATACACACACACACACACACATATATATATTTATTCATTTACAGTATCGGACAAAAATATTATTCCCATAGATTACATTTTTTCCTGCAACACATTACTTTTTTATTTTTATTTTTTTTTGTATATTTTTTAAATATTTTTTCTTGTTATTGTTGTTGTGAATCTCTTTAGAAAAATTACAGTTCTTTATTTGATTATTATTTAAAAACGGGGAAATATATTCCATTATGTGATTAAATATAAAAACACGTAGAATAAATTTCGTTCTCAGGGAAACACAACACGTTTATGCATTATTCATTAGATTGTTTTTCTTTTTCTCTTTTTTTTCTTTTTTTTTTTTTTTCTTTTTTTATATATATCTTTTATTTGTATTATGCTTCTATTTTAATCTCCGTGTTGCTTGTAACGTACTTAAATTTTAAACTCGTGAGATTATTATTTTGGGAGATAGACAAAAAGAAAAAAAGGAGAAAGAAAAATCAATAAATACACCGTATATATATATGATATATATATATCATATGTCTTATTATAAATTAACAAATTTGAATTATTACTAGGATAATTTGTATTTTTTAAACTGTGTTTATTTGTCACTCTGTTACTACTGTAATAATACACATGCGCAATGATAAAAAAAAAAAAAGAGAAAAGAAATCATAAAGATAAAGTGAAAATAGATAAGAAGGAAAAAAAAACGTATAAGCTAGGGAAAAGTAAACAATACAGAGATTGAAAAAGATTTGAAAGAAAGAAAAAAGAAAATAAAAAGAGAAAGAGAGAAAGAGAGAGTGTAGGAAAAGTTATTTGTGCACACACATATCCGAGTTTGAATCGATAAGTGGCCCTGTTATTATATTACGACCAAAGAAAGATTATCTCTTGACACGCGATGCAAAATCGTGCCAGTTTTAGTTACTTTCGGACATGCTGCTGCTTCTTCTTCTTCTTCTTCTTCTTCAAGGATGACTTTGGCAAGGGGCGTGAAAAAAAAGAAAAAACAAAAAAAAAAGATTTTTTCTAAATATTTCGTGGAAGAAAGATAAAGTCAACCGGTCCCCGTAATCAACGGCATCATATATTACTTTCCGCCATTTTTATTTTATTTTATTTTATTTCATGTTTATTTATATTTTTCATTTAAAAATGTTTGTTTCTATTCTCACATATCTATTTTTCATTTTCTTTTACGTATTTTTCTTCTCTCTCTCTCTCTCTCTCTCTCACATATTTCAAATATTATGCTAATACATATATATGTATATGTACACACTGTTTAGAAACGAACGAATTCAGTCGACATTTTGGATCCATGATTATTATCGTTCTATACACACAAGACCACCGAGAGTTGACTCTCGTAGTCGTCGAGTATTACGAGTACATCCATTGGTGGAAGTTTGGTTATATTTTTTCTTTTCTTTTTTTCTTTTTTTCCCCATCTCTTTTTCTCTTTCTCTTTTTGTCGTGTTATCCCGTCCCCCCACCCTGACTCCTCCTCTCTTTTCGTTTAACTTGTCTCTAGTGGTGTTACCCCCACTACCTGTGCACCAACCCACGCCATTTCACCTCCCTAACTCCCTCTCCCTAAATCTCTCCCACCCCTCCTCTTTTCTCTTTCCTCTCTTTCTCTATTTTTTTTCTTTTTTTCTTTTCATTCTTTCCCACCAATGTCGCGTTTGGCGAATTGAAAGTGTGTTTGAAAATTAAATCGATAATGCGAGGTCGCGAGTCACGGTGAGTAATTATCGTATCACGAATGAAACGAGAAGTGTCAGTTTTTGTTATCTTAACACGACAGACTGTACATGTAATAGGCACAATGTATTTTATCTCTCTCTCTCTCACTTACTTTTTTATTTTTTTTTCTTCTTCTCTCTCTCTCTCTCTCTCACACTCTCTTTCATTTACTCGTTTTCTTTCTGTGGGACACTTCATCCTTTTCTACTATTTCATCCCTCTCTCTCTCTCTCTCTTTCTATCTTTCTATCTTTCTATCTTTATATCTTTATCTTTCTCTTTCTATATATATATAATCTTTCTTTTACCCCCACCTCTCATTCTACTCCTCTTCCTTCCTCTTCTTCCTATCCTTCTTTCTCTCACGCTGAGTCGTTTGAGAACGAAAAGGAAACGGGTGTGTGTGAGAGAGAGAAAGATAGATAGAAAAAGCACTGAGTGAGAGTAAAAGAGAGAAGAAGAAGAAGAAGAACAAGAAGAAGAAGAAGAAGAAGAAGAGTCTTCTTGGTTGTTCGCAGACGTTATTGCTCTCGACTAGAGATTCTAAGGATTCTCTCTCTGTTTTCCTTTACAAAAGTATATACGAGTCGCATCGTCAAATCATCCATGTCCGTTCAACGAATCGTATTTCCTTTTCTTTTTTTTTCTTTCTTTCTTTTTTTTTTTTTTTATCTATTCTTTTAACCCATTTCTTTCAGCTTTTTTTTTTTTATTTTGGTCTACCTTTTAATTTCATATTTCATTTGTTTTAATTATATTATTTAATTTAATTTAATTAATATTATTTTATTTTAATTATTTTGTTCGTGTTTATCAAGATGGCCGTCATATCGTTAGCCATTTTTTTTTTTATTTTTCTTGTTTTCATCTCTTCCTTCTTCTTTATTTTTTCACTTTCTTTCAGCTTTCTATTGTCTACTTCTTAATTTAATTTAATTTAATTTAATTTAATTTAATTTAATTATTTATTTTTATTAATTTTGTTCATGCTTACCAAGATGGCCGTCATATTGTTAGCCATTGTTTTTTTTATTTTTCTTGTTTTCATCTCTTCTTCCTCTTTATTTTTTCACTTTCTTTCAGCTTTTTATATTGTCTAGTTTTTTAATTTTATTTAATTATATTATTTAATTTAATTTTTATTATTTATTTTATTAATTTAATATATCCTTACGGAATAAGATGGCCGTCATATTGTTAGCCATTTTTCTTTCTTTTCTTTTTCTTCTTTTTTTTTTCTTTTCATCTTCATATCTCACGTTACGAATAAATTTCTTTTCTTTCTTTACCCCCTTAGTACCACCACCATTACTACCCACCATGAAGGATCTTAATAATTTTACCCCGAATTTAATTTTCTCAACTAACTAAGAAAGAAAAGACAAATTGTTAAATTATTCATTTTTTTTTTTTTAATTAATTAATATTATTATTATAATTATCAATGCTATTATTATTATTATTATTATTATTATTTATTAACGTCGTAGTATTATTTTATTTATGTAATGTAACGAAAAAAAAAAAACAAAAAAAAAAATAATAAAAAAAAAAACCAGCCGATAAACGTCGTTTATCACTCGCAAACACAAGTATTGAAATAATTTTTAAACGTTTTAAGGAAATGAAAACAAAAAAAAAAAAGAAAAATAATAATCCTCCATTTTTCATTCGTAATATAATAAGCGAATATTTGAAACATGATAAAAACGTGCTTTTATAAAAAAAAATTAGAAATCATTTGGGAGATGATTTTATTCCGTATACATACATAGTATAGTTGTGTTATTTTCATA